GTTAAAATTTAAGAACTAACTAAAACTTATACAAAGAAAAACCTCTTAAAATAACTAGGTGAACAATTGAAATAAGTTGTCTAAAGCAGGCAGGTTAAAACGGACAGACACAGTAAAGCAACAGCGAGACGACCACGATAAAGAGACTTAAAAAAGACTTACACAAACAGTGGGAAACACACACAAAACAGACAGATAACAGAATAACCATAGACAAGACACACATTCTGGTTGATAAAAGACAGCCAAAACTGTCAAGACAGACAATAAGAATGAGACAAACGGATGGACAGGCTGATGAACAGCCCTACAAACACACTAATGCAATACAGCATGGACAGCACCAGGTTAAAAATTGACGCTCAAGGTGCTTTACATAAATACAGATATACCAGTTAAAATTTAAAATACAAGAGGTGTACAAATTAAAATGATCTAAATCAGGCAGATATAAACGGATGGGCACAGAACATCAATCAAGTAAACAGACTTACATCTACACAACAGCGTGGGAAACATACACTAGACGAACAGATGAACAGACTAACAGTAGACAAGACACATACTGGTTGATAAAAGACAAACTGTCAAAAACAGACAATTAAGCATGAGACACACGATGGACAGACAGATGAACTAACACACAGCACATACGGCACAGAATGTAAATAGCATGACGGCCACAACAGAGAGAAGTAGACAACAGACTAAGAGACACACACAACAGACAGACAAGACAAATGAACGGACTGACAGGCTAAAATCTTTATGCATGTGTAAGATGAACAGACACAACCAAGGGCGGAAATCGCTCCTTGAACGTGGGGAGGACAGGTTTTTTTTTTCTCCCCGAAATTATATTACTCACAAAAAGTCACAAGGACAACTTTCCACTCGTAATGTTGCCATGGGGTATGGCAGCCATAGCGATAGACTTGAAATCAAGTCTGTAATGAGTGGTTTTAATCGCGTCCGCCGCAAGGGCGGATCCAGAACACAATTTTTTGGGGGGGCGGGCAAAAAAAAGTTTGGTCCCCGAAAAAAGTGGGTCCAAAAAATTATGCTCTGTGATGCGATCTGAGGCAATTTCTGACCACTTTAACCAATTTTTTTTTTGAGGAAAAGATTGGGGTGTACTCATTGCCTGCCTTTATTGCGATGTCACATAAAAAAAAACCTTGGTTTCTTTTTTTTTGGGGGGGGGGGGGGTCATGGCCCCCTTGATAATGCAACAATATATTTCTAAACCTCATTGTGTGCATCAGGCATTTTGTCATTGCGGTTCTGTAACCTTAAAATTGGGCACAAACCGCGAACGAGTTCGTTTTCAGGGTGATTAGTTAAACTACATCAAACCACATGGGCCAAAAAGAGCTTACGTTTACAGTCGGCGCGCACTTCATTTTTTGAAGGGGATTTACAATTATTCATAACAGTTTCAACTTCCATAATTACTTAAATATTACTCCTTTTCAAAGACAGTTGCAAAAGTAGTAATATTATCTACAATGTTATACGCTTTTTTACTGTAATTTTAAAAACAGGACTGTCAAATAAAATGGAAACTTGAAAATGATCGTGTAATAATTACCCCCATATTTGGTGTTTCTTCGTAAGCCAGATGGGCTACTATTGGCCCTCGCTATGGAAACGTCATGCATATGCATTGCAGTGGCTGCATATATGAATATTCGCTTGAAAACGTCTTAGTCAAGTCGTTAGACGTAGACACGGACTGACCATGCCGCGCGTTAGTACATGACTTTTGCATGAATGGTTGTAGCGCTGACGTTGCATGAACGGCAATGGTATGCGGATTTTGGCGCTGATCGATGACGGACATAAACCACTATAGTCTAACGACTTGTCATCAAGTCTACCATAGCAATTGCGGGCCGGAGTGGGGCCGAATTTGTATAGGAGTAGCAAATTATATGACGTACGCAGGCAACATTGTGTATAACGTATACCGCATGAACCAACACGCACGTACAGTACATGTACGTGGGTAGGTGTACAAGAGCTTGGTCGAACCAACAAGAAAACCAAATTGGTTCTCAGCCACAAAGCGACGTATCAAGGAGGCTTTTCCCTAAGACTCTGCCATGGTTGGTCACCCACCCATACCTACACATGAAAACATGGAGGGGACATTCGACATTGTGTCCCCCCTTACCAAATTCATGGGGGGGACGTGTCCCCCTGTCCCCCCCGGGATTTCCGCCCATGGACACAACATAAATATTGACAGGCACCAACCCGACGCCCCGACCAGTATGTCCCCGTCGCCATCAGGAGACGACGATCTCCTGATGACAACCAGAGCGCACCGATTGGAATGCCGAGCCCATACCCCCAGCCTCTCCCAGAACCACCCACCCCCTCCAGAGCATTTTCTTGGTGCTACCAAAAAACAACAACTATAGACTGTGTCTGTGGTAGGTTCCCAGACCAAAAGACTCTGACTATTGAGGTACATGACAGCTTAAGCTGCTGTTTGAAATACACTAGTGCAGTGCCTGTCTAAAATGTGCATGTTCGGGAAGGGCAAATTGCTTGGTTGCTGGTATTGGTTGCTAAGTTGCAGCGCTTTTGAGAACTGCTCGTGCAAACAATGCAAGTGATTCAATGGAATAGCCCCCCGGTGAAGGTCAATGCACATTACATGTTGAATGCACACTTTGTACACATCGCCGCGCCGCAGACGGGCACAGATATTTACCTATACTGGACAATGGTATCGCCCTACAGTAAGGGTTGCTCAGTCGACCCACAGTGATGTTTGCTCAGTCGACTGCAAAAAATACAGGTGCCCGTGCAGTCACACATGTTAGTATGTGTACATACGGCTGGCCAGAGAAAAAAATGAATGGTATGCAGTGCTTGGTGGTCAATTCACCCATACTGGACAATGGTATCGCCCTACAGTGAGGGTTCCTTAATTGACCGCAAAATGCATGTGCCCCATAGAGCTGCATCTACTCTCAGACACGGTTCTTGAATGTCTTAGGATGCACATATTGAGTGAATGCGGCTTTTCATTTTTCCTCATGGACCTGAAGCATTTAGCTTGTACCGCCACCTCATCATCCTTCAGAATCTCAAACTGCACTTTGTGCAAATAACTGTTCATAAAGTAATTGAAGCCTCGCTCCTTTTCCCTTTTGCTGACCCCCTCTCAATTAAAAAACTTACATTTACAGCCTTTGGTAACACTTCGATTCTATGTGTTTTCATCTTGCGGGCACGTTTGTACAAATGTTTGTTTACACGTTCAAAGTTCAAACATTCACTGACTTTTACGCGTTGTTACGCCGTTGCTATGGTGGGCGGGGCTTACGCGCGAAACCCGGAACGGTGTATTATATACATGTAGCTCTATGTTGTGCCCGTCCTTTTTTCCATTGTTGCATCATATTGAGCACGCGCGCTTTAGCTTACATGACGTGAAAAGGACAGCAGTGCGCGTCACATTGAAAAGGACGGCAGTGCGTAATGGTCTAGGCTATCATACTGCCACGTTTGCCTCAGAAAATGCTGCTTTTTGCAGCTTTTTCGAGAACCGCTCATCCAAACCACTTCAAACTTGGCACTGTACATTCTGGTGTCCTGAGCAATATACCCGCCAATTTTCAACTTCATACGGTGCCCGGTTCTGGAGATAATCGATGTACAGACAGACAGACAGACACACAGAGATTTCTGGATTTGTAAATGTACATGCTCTTCTTTTATTTGGTGAACTGTGTTTGCAGTTGCATGTAATGGTTCCACGTAGCGTAACAGTCAATAATTTTACATTTATAGCAAGAAACCCACATGGCTTCACCATGGATCCAGTACTCCACATGGGTAAAATCCAGCCCTGATTGGGACCAGGGTTACAAGCCTGTGCCTGTGTAGAAAATCGGAAATTATGGAGGACATCCTTACTATAATTCCAGGAATCTCTGTGTGTGTGTCTGTCTGTCTGTCTGTACGCTGATTATCTCCAGAACCGGGCACTGTATGAAGTTGGGACAACAGAAAGTACAGTGTCAAGTTTGAAGTTGTTTGGACGAGCGGTTTTCGAAAAAGCTGCCAAAAAAGAGTAATATTTTCTGAGGCAAACGTGCCAGTATATAGCCTAGACCACCACGCTCTGATGTTCTTTTCAATTGTTTACGTCATGTTTAAGCTAAAGCGCGCGTGCTCAATATGACGCAAACAATGATAAAAGGACGGGCACGCGCACGTGTTTCCGTATGTACACCTACGTGGTGGCTGCACGGGCACATTATTTTTGCAGTCGACTGAGCGACCATTGTAGGCGGTCGACTGAGCAACCTTACTGCAGGGCGATACCATTGTCCAGTAGGGGTGAATAATATCTGCGCTATTTTGCAGCTTTTTTGAGAACCACTCGCCCAAACAACTTCAAACTTGGCACAAACTTTGACGTGAGTGTGCGTTCAACCTGTGAAAACAACACCATTGAATCGCGTGCGTTGTTTGCACGAGCAGTTCTCAAAAACTCTGCAAGCATGCAACCAATACCAGCGGCAAAGCAATTTGCGCTTCCTGAACATGCACATTTAAGACGGGCACTGCACGGTTGTACGCGTAGGTGGACGTGAGAGGCTGCACGGGTACATATTTTGTAGTCGACTGGGTAGGCGACCGACTGAGCAACCTTTACTGTAGGACGTAATAGTCCAGTATGGGTAAATGCAGTGCCAGGGGATGGCGAGGGGATGGCGACGTGTACAAAGTGCGCGTTTAACCTACAAATGTGCGTTTAACCTGTGAAAGCAACATGTCGTGTGTGTTGTTTGAATGAGCAGTTCTCTGCCCCTTCCAAACAGACACATTTTCAACGGGCCCTGCACTAGTATACAAAAAGGATGTCACACAGTACCTGCTGGATAATTCAACACAGGTTGACAAGATGATGGAGTAAACATAGATCATATTTTTAAGCACGGTGTACCATCACTTTTCATTTTGTTTTTCCTCAACAGACTATTTATGTGATCCAGATGCTAACATATACAATATAGACTTCACCAGGTTCAAAATAAGAGACATGGATACTGCAACAGTCCTCTTTGAGATAGCAAAGCCACCTCCATCAGGTAAAATTCTATGTATTAATAGTTTACAAAGCAAAGGTTCATGCTGGAAGACATTGCTCATATTATTAGCACAAGGTGTTTTGTGTGATGAAGCCTTTCTTGAAATACTCATGTAATATAAAAAAAACCCAATTATATGTGCTTTGATTTTAATTGTGAAAATGCTGTTGGTCTTGCTGGGTTGTGCAATCACAAGTACTAAGAACAAATGCGCAGCTTAGCACATGTGAACTACTTAAGGAACTGTGGGTATAAACTCAAATAACTGGTACTGTGTACTGTTTCATATTGACCTTCATGTAGAAATTGGCCTTTTTGTAAATATCTGTTCAACATTTCTGGGTGTAAGTTGTTTTCAAGGGGCTTTAAAATTAAATTTTTTTTACCTTAAAAATAATGAGTATTCACCTGTTTAATCTAATGAATGTTTTATGGAGCAATAAACAAATTATTCAGTACAATCTAAAACACATTGCAGAGGAAGATGACGATGTAGAACAAGAACCTGATGATGCAGATCCTAATGCTGGCAGATTTGTGCGCTACCAGTTTACACCTCAATTCCTTAAACTGAAGACCATTGGAGCAACGTAAGTTGTTTTACACATTTTAATGTACATGTCTAACAGTGCTCATTTTGATATTCAGCTTTCAGTTATTTGATTAATTCATGTCTTTATTGGATATTCAAGGCATGGGTCAGTATCAAGAACATGGGACACTGTTATTAAAACCTCAAGATTCCAGAGAATACAATGTGAACAGACATTAAAGCAAAACAATGTAACATTCCAAGGCCTCTACCTTAATGCTAGCCCGGTGTACAATGTCTATTAAAAACTGCTGCAGGCTAGTAAAGCGTACTCTTTAACTTGCCCGTGCTAGTAAGCAAATGCAGCCATTGGTTTGTTTTTTGCTCAGGCTGTACAGTATATCGTCACCGACACCACGAAGTAACACCCATCTACATACCAGTAAAAACTAGCAATCGGAGAAAACGGCAACTAAAGTTGAACGCCTTCTAAAACAACACTTTGCGTCAAAACGACAGAGTATTTTCAGTTGGGTTTCTCGTTGTGGACACTTGATGAATTGAATTTAGTAAATCTGCTGTTTTTCTCTCGTTTGTGTATTAAATAAACAAGAAATAAGAGAAAAAAGATGAGTGTTAGTTCGTGAAACCGAAAAAGCTGCGAAACTGTAAATTTTCGTTTTCACGAAGTAACACTCTTCAATGTATTTAACACGAGGAAAGTGCAACTTCAGGTCAGCGCGCGCGCGCTCATACAACTTGTTACAAGAAGAGTGTTACTTCGTGAAAACGTTTTTGCTCACTTATGAGCAGAGTGCGCGCCATGCATTGCAATGGAAAATGGAACTTGAGTGTTACTTCGTGAAAACGAAAATTGTCACTTTTGCGCAAAAGTTGCCATGGATACTTAGCGTAATTATTAAAGTAAAGCTCTTGAAGCTTTGAAACTTCGTGCAATGGTAGGCCTTGATGAATAATGTTTAAAAATCCAAAAAACTGAAAATCGATAAAAATATGCTTTAACACTGTAGAGTGTTACTTCGTGGTGTCGGTGACGATATGGTGAGAAGCTGAAATAAACCGCGATCCAAATGTACGTGCGAGTAGGCCTATCCATATGCATTCTCTGCAAACACATGGAGTTTTCATGCTGTGTACAGGCCTTGCATTTGGGAATTTTTAGGGCAAGACCATTTTGGCCTTGAATGAAGCAAAATTATAGAGGGCACCAAGGGCGCCAAAATAAAATCGGCAGAAGGGGGCACAGAAGCTGGCTAAAAAATGCAAAAATTATATCGGTGATCATGTAGTTTAGGACCCCTTTTTACTTTCGATCAGATTTGAGTCAAAGGTGAGTTTTATCACTCAAACAATTACCGTTTCAACCTAAAGCAGACTTCTCTTAGTTAAAATGACACCTTTTTTTGTAATTTTGAACACTTTTTTTGGATAGAAATTATGTTTTTTGTACGCGGCTTTACGGTTAGTGATGTGCGATCTAGGCCTGTGCGACTAGTGTGACTAGTCGACTAGTTGCCAATACTAAAAAGTGTTGGTAGTTGGGACTATCAATTTCTGAATAGTCGACTAGTCATGTGACGTCACTAGTCGGGACTACTGAAATTAGTCGTGACTATTGAAATTCACTAGTCACCCACACCTGAAAATTTGTGATCCAAGTTATTAAAAAACGGCCCAATAAAAATGTAAGGAAGAAGGATTTAATAGTAACAGTGACAGAACATGAATGCCAATTACAGAGGCAGTGTATATATTTTCTAATGTGATCACTCACAACTGAGTAAATCGGGGTTATCCCTACAATGAATGATGTAGTACTCACATGACACATTTGATTCTGTCATTACTTTGCAAGCGTATCAAAGGCATTATGCTTACATATATTTTTGCGGCAGGGGTGTCGCTACTTGAAGTATCAGCACACAGGAACTGGAGATTCAGTTGTCAGTGTGTGTACATCGTGTGTACATACGTACAGTGTATGGGGAATCCCCGGTGTTTGGCCACGGCCGTAATATGCTGCGCGCTTGTGATTGATACAACTGAAATCAAGGATTGTAGTGGTTTTAATAGGCTGATGGATGTTTTTGCAAAAAGGGCACGAAGGCCAAGGTAAATATGGGGCAAGGAAAAACTGGCCGTGAAGACAGGGATTTTTTGTGGGGCACCTCGGCCAGTAAGAAGACAACGACGGCACTGGCCGTCGTGGCCGTCATTCAATTCAAGCCCTGTGTGTAGTGCTAGTGCCAGCACGGTACACACTGAGTGCTCTTTGGACCCACACCATTTGCAGTCAAGGAGTGTGCTTTCGTAAGACCAATTCCCCTGTATTTCCACTGCTCCAAAATTACAAATAATACTTTTCATGGAGTCAGAAACGTTTCCCTTTTTGATAATTAGTTCTTCCACTTCACCATATTTTGTTCGTTAAGAATTTATTGGAGAAACAGTGTCAAACACCGAAAAAAAAATTAGGCACAGGAGGATATAAATGGATCTGTCCATAAAATGTCTAGAACTAGTTTTGGGAAGAGAGTCACAAACCAAAACTTACGAGTCTTTGCTGAAATTAGAAACTGAAAAAGGGCCTGTTTGTTCTTAAGACAAACACAAACAGCAGTTATTGCCACAAAGCCCTTCCGTGCTCCAAAAATCCCCCAACAAGACAGAACGCGGTATGTTGCTTTCTCAATCGCATGCAGGGAATTTTCTAGTTTGCCAGTGATTCCTGATACGATGTCAATTTCTCAATGTTATCATGTAAAAGTACAGTATATATTGATGTATATTTTCTGTCGAATGCCAGAACACATACAGTGGGTGTTATAATTTAAAGCTATAGTCCATCATTTGCAGCTATCTGAAAAGTAACTGGCGTAATTATTGTTGAAAAACATACTTGGTTGAAAGATAGTAAGGGGACTAAACTCCCTGTGAAATTATTCTTTCTGGCAAGCTGTTATTTTGAAGTAATCAACGAAAGAAGGCCTTTCCAACGGTGTGTCTTAAGACGCACCGTTGGAAATTTCCGTTAGTAGTTTGTTGTTTTTATTCGGCGAAGCACGCACAAGCGTTGACACGACGCACACACGCGCGCGGTTGCTATAATTCGTTGGATCAGTGCGCGACATCGCGTAGCTGCAATCGGCTCAGTGAGAACGTGTCTCGAACGCTGAATTTAGGCCCAATTCAAAACATGATTCAGCAACTTTTGATTTGAAAATGAGATCCTAGAATGCTGTTTTTCTCGGAATATACAGCTGAAGCTGAGCTGAAACTTCATCAGGTTAGTTGTTCAGTACCCTTCTTTAGATTTTGAGCACTTTTGTTGCTTCTAACGAACAAAATGCAAGAATTACAAATGATGGACTATATCTTTAACCTTACATTTTGTCTTGTCGCTGATCTGCAGATGGTTATCATACATACGGTACACAGAGCTATGGACAGATTTTTGTTTACACAATTTCTTGGTAAATAATTTAAGGGCAAAAAAGTGAAAATTACATGCTTAAAAGAGGGAGAAATGCCAAAATGTCAGCTGGTCTTTTAATAATGACCCATTTTACACTGCCAAACAGTTTCTTAATGTTAAAACTCACACAGTTAACATTCAAGTTGTATAACCCAGTGTCAGTCGAGGATTTCCTGAGTCGGGAAGAAATTGCAAACCCCAACCTGCAGAAGTCCGTCCGCAGAAGCCAACTTCCATCAGTCGGACTCCAGCCCACTTCCACCTCTGCAAATTACACAGAGGCTAGCATCGGGAAAAGGTCCCAAGGCTGAGAAATGAGGCAGTTCTTTCATAAAACTGATAACAATTTCACCAAACAAGATGCCAACGAGAGAACATGCTAGGAGGTCCTCGGCAGTATTCGACACATGCTTCCTAAGTGGGGCAGACTTCTCTCAAGTTCCCAAGTGAAGGAAGTTGCCGTGTACCTTCAACAGACTCCGGCCGTTGTTCTCAAATCTCTCGACTGGCTCTCACGAACTCTGCCAAGATCGGTGCTTGACCTTGACGAGCCGTGAATGTTTGCTTGTTCTGGTGCATATGATGACTGAGAACCCCGGCTGCAAGGGCGTCCTGCCGCTTGCCTGACTTGGGCTGACACTGTTGAAGATGTTGTGTGTAGCCAAAAGCGACGTTGGGTCGTGCAATTCGCAGATCGTTATGGCCTGAGTACATTTTGACTTGCCGTACGTGAAGGTTCATCCTCCGTATTTGCTCCGTTCATCCTCCAGCGGGGCTTTTTGATTCCTTCCTCAGTTGCCCTTGACCATCTCGAACTGAGTGCTGGCAAGGAGGTGAGATTTGCAGTCAGTTTTTCAATAATTTTTTTAAAAATAAGTTGAGACAATTTTTAATAGCAAACTTACTCTGCGGTGGATACCAACAACAAGAATGTCACTTCCCGCGTGAAGTCTGTAGACCCCTGCAGTGTTTCTGCATTTTTTTGGACAGTTCTGAATAAGGAGCCAATTAAAATGGCTTTCGCGTCCTTTGCACCGAATATCTTTGGTTTAATGTTAGTTTGAATAAATTTGTGTACACTGATTTCCAAAAAAAAATGGAAAAAAAAAAAATGAAGATGAAATTTAAACTACTAATACTAATGCCTACCTCAAAAATGCAAACCTCGCAAAAAGAAAAGAAAGATCATTGTTATAAAGTAAGTGAGGTGCAACAAAGTTCATTTTTAATTTCAGACAAAGAGCAAGGAAAAAGGAAAATCATCCACACACAAATCACTAGCCTGGAGTGATCCGTAGGTGGTCAAAATGGCTGTCATTGCCAACATGGCACTACATGCGACATCAGTGCCAAGCCTGACAAACAAATCACTAAACTTGATACCATCAATACAATACTCTCCACCCTATAGATAAAGTTACATGACATGTCATCTAACGAATCTCGCCTTGACAAGGATATTTCGAACCTCAAATCTGCTGTGGAAGCTCTTCATCTTGATCAGTCGCCTGGAAAACAAAATTTTAGACCTCCAGAACAGATCTAGACCTGTGAAGTAATGAAGGAGCCAAAGACAACAAATACTGTGATGAGTTGTTTCTGAATTCCTCGCGTCCCACATGAATGTGGACTAAGCAGCTGACATAAAACTAAGTGGAGTTAGCTCAGTACCTGCAGTCCTGCATGCATGCGCTCTGTCCATTTTGGGGTCCCCTTATTGAATTAACCGTACTGTGAGCACATCCATACCAGTACTCCGTCTAAGCTCTAATCCTGCACGTATGCGCTCCGTACATTTTGGGGGTCCCCTTATTGAATGAATTTTACCACGAACGTATGTACGTACATACGCACGCATAAATTCGTAACTGCACTGTACACGTACATGTATGCAAGCGTTCTGCACCACACTGCTGGCCACCCTTGCTTCGTACGTGTACGGACGGGCATGACTTTCTGTGATCAATAACCCAGCCTGTATGTATGATAAACATTGAGGATAAATTTGCTGGAATCAACCATGGATGTAGAAATAAACCAAGGTAAATTGAAGCCTGTGATCCCATATGGGAGATTGTTTGTAGTATTGATCCAGATGCCGATGTGCATAGGCCATTCAATCTATTTTTTTACTCCATGATTCAATATATTTGTAAGTCAGCCAAATGACGACTTACAACAGAAGTCGGCATTGGCTTTAGTGGTCACAAATTCTCGGGTCCCGAGAATGCCAACTTAGCCGGAGTTTACTGTGTATCCCAACTTAGATTCAGAATTAAGGTACTCAAGCAGAGGGTTGAAAGAGGTTAAGAATATTACAGGTTACAGCATGAACAGTGGATCATCCTGGAAATATTTAATGACATAATTATACATGAATGCAGATGAAGTGTAACATGGGTATCAGTGTGACTGAATTAATGATTGAGCACACAGATAAAAATGCATTTTTTTTATAGAAATATCTGTTGTACAGTACAATATTTGAATACACATGTGAGGTACACATGCTGCTGAGAATTTGTGCATGTCTGGAAGTGAAAACACAAACTGAACAATTCAAGTGCTGGCACATTTGTTAAAGAGGTTGTGGAATGCTCGAAGACATTTCCATCATTTTTCGGGTATATGTAGCCTAAGGTGTAATGAAATAAAAAGGACTATTGTGTCTGTCATGAAATGAGTACAAAAGGTACTTTTGAGAGCTGTTTTTCAAGTCCTGTTTCGACCCGAACGTGTAATTTGTGTAAAAGTCGTAGTTGGGGGCAGCAAACAAAACATAGTAAATCGTGACGTAATAAACAGGACTCCCGATGCAGCGTAGTATAAACGAGTCCTGTTTATTACGTCACGATTTTTCTCATTTTACGAAGAACCCGACAACTGTTGATTTCAATTATAAATGCGCTCGCCGACCAACAAATTACTCGATGAATTTCAGTTTTATAAACATATAAACGCACATTACAAAAGAATGGGACTTTTTTCATTATGATATACATGTATGGGTCTACTCTACAATAAAAAAAATGTAATAACAAAACGACTTTCTCTTTAAAGACCTTTTTGTTCCCTGGCTTTTCCCTCTGTCCCTTCGCCCTTCGCCTGTGTGTCCATACACACCAGAATTCCCATCTGCTGGAATGTCCATGTGTTCCATTTTGGTTAACTGTTTAGTGCTGTCATATTAAAAAAAAATCTGAATTCAATCTTGACCAAACTTGGTGACAATAATCATGGGTAGGGAGACTTCAGATGACCTGAGACACTTCAGGTCAAAGGTCACCTAGGGGTCAAATGAGGTAATTGTTGATTTTGGTTAGGTCAACTGAAAAGTGCTGTCACAATCTTTGGGTCGGCAGACTTCAGATGTCTTCAGACATTTGAGGTCAAAGGTCGTCTACAGGTCAAATGGGGTCATTGTTTATTGTGACTAGGTCAAGTGCAAAGTGTGCTTACTAACTCAATGTATAAACAAATGCCAGGGGTATTTGCAAGTTTCACTTGCACTTTTTGCATTATTTATGAAGGTAATTGCCAGTCATAAAATCAGTGGCCACTCAAGGTGGTAGGGCTGTCCATTTTTTTTAATAATGTAGTTTTTTTTACTTGAAAATGGGCAATTCCACACAATGGGCTCAAAAGTGTGACATTTTGAGTTTGATGATAAAACTACCATAGGATCTTGGTCTCTCAATTTTGGTGTAAATATTGCAAGCTTTGAACAAATATCCTCACCTGCAAAGGATATAACTGGTTTTCTATTTTAGAAAATACGGTTGATATTGTTCTTAAAAGTGTTACATACCGGTATGTGATGAAGGACAGACATTTTAAATAGATTTAAGAGGATGTACCCTGGAGGAATGCCATCAGTCAAACCCTAGAAAACTCAGAGTCAATATGAAGAAGTATTTGATATATATTCAGGATTTATATATGTACGAATAGACTGGACCTCTTATCAAGATTGATGCGATGGACTTGGATTGCAAATACAGAGAACAAATACATTGAACTATTTTTTCTTACAGAGTTGAATTTGTTGTTGGTGATAAACCAGTAAAAAACTTTCGCATGATAGAAAGACACTACTTCAAAGACCGATGCCTGAAGACGTTTGACTTCAACTTTGGTTTCTGCATTCCAAACAGCAAGAATACATGTGAACATATATACGAGTTTCCCAAGCTCACTCCAGAAGAAAGTAAGTACTTGTTCTACCTATATTTTGTACAATTCAGTAAATATTTATATTGATTTATATTTAGTAATCCAGTACAATTCATATAAATCTTAAATTTTAAGTTAATCCTCTTAACAGCTTTATAAATTATGTTTGACTGATTATTAGTCATTAGTAGGGACAGTGATATTACAAAAGTATGATTTGCAGGAGTTCTTACTTCAAACAAAAAAACTAGAGGGAACTGTTGTGTGGCAAACATACGGTAGGTGATTGTGCCAGGCATTCTTTTATTAAACATAATTTGACAGTAAACCGTGAATGAAAAAGTATTTTTACAACAGAAAAACTTCAAAGCTGTTGAAAGTTGCACGTGAAATTTAAGTGATTTCTCAGACCATGCAGTCAATCCACTAAGTCAGCCTGGAGTTTGGGTTCAGGTTCAGTTTGGCAAGGCTTGAAATTATATTCATACTCATATGAGATGAGACTGCCAACACACCATTGTTTATTTAAGTGAAATCTACCCTGTGATTGTTTGAAATAAAAAAGAAAGAAACCAGTCTTTGATCCCTTAGTATCGGAGATTGTGCTTTTGATGATAGAAGCCTGGGGCTCTATCACAGGGCCATGGTACACCAAGGTACACCAATGCACCACTGGTAGTCTTAAGACATTTAATACAAAGATGAAAACCATTGCCAAAGAGCAGGTTACAGAGTGAAATACGCCTATCATAGTCTGAGGGCTACAACTGTGACACTGCTGGACAAAGCCAGATTTGCCAGTCATGACATCATGGCAGTCACAAGACACGAAGCTGAATTGTCACTCAAGCACTATGTTCGTACTAATAATGAGACCAAAAACAAAAACAACTGAGTGCCTACCTTCATGACCTTGCAGCCAAAATGCAAGAAACTAATCCCATCCCTGCAGACTTCCATTCCCCGGATCTGTTAATTTTGACAACGAGTGAATCTTCACCAGTCAGTGCTGCTATTTTTAGTAGTTCACTGTTTCTTTTAAACTTGTTGAAAACTGTTGAACTTTTTGAACAGTTTAAAATTTGTTGAACAGTAATAAACTTAGGTGAATTGGATATGAAAGTTCTGAACTTGTTGAACAGTTTTAAACTCAGATAAATTGAAAAATATTTATATATATATATATTCCATTTCTTTACCCAGTGTTCGCCCAAACAGTTTAAAACTGGTTTCCATTGGGACCCTGCATGCAATATTATCTTCAAGCAAACTTGTATCCTCGATCCTGATTGGTCGATCCATGGCAACAACAGTGTGATATGAGGCTGTATTGCACGGTCCATATCGCACCCTGCGTATTGCGTATTGCACCATTCCAAGATGCGAGCGACATTCCAGCTGCATGCGCTGCGCTTAACCGCTGGAAGGTTCGTGTAAAGCGATGGTCCAACTTTACTGCGCGTCAAGTTTGCTTGAAGATAAATTCGTTATCACGCTCGCGTTCGTGGAACACGGAAAATGTAGTGCGTCTGTGTCCCACAGACGCACTACATTATTCCGTGTTCCACTCGCGTTCGCGGGATAACTTATAATACACACATTTACAAATACAATACAATAAAATATGATAAAATGAAGGCATAAATATGGGACTAATACATAATTGTATACATTGTAAGCAACTATTATGTATACATGTATGTTGTAAAGCTATTATAGTTACATGTACATGTACAGTGTGCAACAGCATTGCTAACAGGCTTTACTATAAGGTGAATTAAGTAAAGTGAACACAAAGAATTTGGACATATCTCGTGACATCAAGAAAATATTATTATATAATATTGGATGGCTTTGAGATGGATACAAGAATATATTGCACGGCTTATGACAATATTGCACGAATCGAAGACAAGTGCAATATTGTCATAGCGAGTGCCATATATTCTTGTATCCATTGAAAAAAAGCCATCCAATATTATTATTATTACTTATATCAGGCTGACTTGATCCGCAAGAAATACAATTCAGACACACTGTCTTCATTTCATCTTTTTTTGTCAAACTATTTGAAGCTACTGTAATTGTAGAGAACAGTGCGCGTATATCTGGCCTACTTCGCGCTGCCGCTGCACGCAGCGTTCCGTGTTGGACGGTACGCGCGCTACGCTCTGTTGAGTGGTTAACAACTGTGACTTTCTATGCTCTTGATTGTGCGGGAACCAGCGAAAATGCCCGATGACTGCAATAATAATATTATTGCAGTCAACCGGGTACCGTAATATTGCAGTCATCCGGGTACTTTTATGAAAGCATGCAATACGCTAATTTATTTTTACCGCTGGAAGCCTGATAATGATATATATTCGCTGATTACGGGAGGGGCAAAAAGCCTGCGAAAAAACCTCTTTGGAGCAAATACGGGAAAATTCCTATCGGGCTCCTTATTATTAT